GGGGAGGCTGGGAGCTACATGGAGAAGTGAGTGGCTCAGATCACAGGCAGTGCCCACTCCAGCCACCAGTGAGGGCATCTTGCCCATTCTAGCTCCAGCCAAGGTCCAGAATGAACACAGCTTCACAACGACCTCAGCCAGCACCACGTGGAACAGGAGAACTGTCACCACTCAGACTTGTGAGAGATAACACACCATTGTTCTGAGCCACCAAGTTTCAGGGTGGCCTGTCACTCAGCAATAGATAACTGACAAGGAGACACAGACACACAGACACGCATAGGGTGGGGGGGCTGACACTTGGAAACAGAGATAAAGAGAGGGAGTGAAGATACAGATCAAGAAAGCAAAGCGGAGCGGTAGAGGCAGAGAGAAAGATGGAATTGAGGAAACGCAATGCAGGAGACGGGGTCAAAATGAGACAGAGACCTTTGGAAACAGAGATAGAGGGAGAGATAGCAGTACAGAGACAAGATGGGAAGAGAGAAACAGAAATTGTTAAGAAAACCACAGGCTCCAGTCAACAGCCCTAGCTAAGTTTTCAGCCGATGGCCAGTATCGACTGTCAGCGCGTGAGGGAGTTACCAGTCTGCTGACCCTCCAGATACCTGCAGCCTCAGCGGACCTCTGGGTGCATTGTGTGACGGACCCCAAGCCAAGACCACCCAAGTCAGCCTCTAGAGCCCAAGTGAACTGGTCACCTGCAGAACCATGAGAGGTAATGACGTGTCATTTTTAAGCCACTAAATCTGGGGGTGGTTTGTCGTGTAGCAACAGATAACCAGAAATGTATGCTTGGAGCATCACGGGAAGGTTGGTGAAGAGTAGGAAATGGAAGGTATGGGGGGTATTAGGCTGAATATTGATTTGGGGGAAACAGGCTAAGGACTTGGGGAATGTTCAGGAAGAAGAGGCTGAGGAAATGTGTTTTGAGTTCGGGGAGGGTTAGAGGCTCGGGACTGGATCCAGCTGGGGGCCTTGATCTTGGCACAGAGGACCTGGGACTCTCTGGGGTAACTTCGGGGCTGATTTCATGAGCGCCCACCATCTGACCGGTCCGCATTTCCGAGCGTGGGTGGGTGTGTGTCCCCGCAGTCCTTTCTGCAGAAGAGGCTCTTCATTGTCTCTCAGAATCCACACTCCCCCTTTTCCTTAAAACCCCTCCATGATTTCAAGCAGGATGACAGAATAAAAACTCCATTTTTTCAGTCCCTCTTGCAGCTGCACGTGGCAGGCGGTATGAGTCAAGTCTGGCCAACGAGATGAAGGAGGAAGTGGACCTCTGCTTCCTCTCCATCATTCTGGTTGGAAAGCGGCCATGCAGGTGAGCCACCTTGGGCTAAACAGATGAGGGCCTCCGTACTCCAGCTATGTCAGAGCAGCAAGACAGAAGAAATCGGGGGGTTACTGCCCTCATGAATTAGAGTTGCATACTAGATGTGGCGCATTACCCAAGAAAGAAAGAAACCCTTATCTTATTTAAGCCACTGTTATTTTGGATCCGTTATTCATATCTAAATCCACATCTAACCACTTTTAGTAAAAACGTTAATAGCCCTTACAAGGACTTGATATATGTCAGACACTGTTCAAATCACTTTATAGGTACCTCCTCCTTTAACCAATCATCATCTCCATTTTACTGATGAGGCCCAGAGACATTAAGTAACTTGCTCAAGGTGGCACAGCTAGTGAGCAGTAGAGCTGGGATTTGAACCCAGGGAATCTAACTCCAGGACCAGCATCTTAGGGTCTTTGAAGTCATGAACCAATTTGAAAATCCAATGAATGTTATTGGTCCTCTCCTAGGAAAAATGCACTTGTCTGTGTGTTTTGCACAGAAGTTCAGAGAGTTCCTGAAACCTGTCCACTGACCTTCTCAGTGGAGTCTCCTTCTCTATATGGGGTCTTCAGCTTAGGAAACCTCATCTAGTTTGACCCCTCAGCCTCCGTCAGGGTTCTTAGCTGCACACAGCAAAAGTTGACTGACCGATTGTACAGAAGCAGAACGTACCAGTCAGCTTTGGCTGGGTCATGCTGCAGTAACAAACATCCCCCAAATCTCAGTGGAATGAGATTTAGAGATTTATTTCTCGATAAAGCTACAAGCCCACTGCCAGTTGGCTGCCTGTCACTTTTACTCCTGGACACCAGGCTGTTAGAGCTGTCACTATTGACAAAATTATGGGTCATCATGGCTGAGGAAAAAGAGACATGGCAAAGTATGCAGTGTTTCTAAAGCTTCTACCCAGAAGGACCTCCCATCACTTCTGCCCTCTTCTTAGCTGAGGCAAGTCAACTGATTATTTACTGGCTTCCAAAGGGCAGGATAAAATCTTCCTGTGGAGAAGAAAACAGAATTGAGTGAATAGTGCTACAATTCACTACATGGAGTTTATGAGTGCCTTACAGAAGCACTGAGTGGCCTGGAGGCCCAGGCAGGATGCTGTTTCCAGAAGACAGCCCCAAACCACACCCAGAACCGACCTAACGAGGAAACCACCTCCACAGCCACTGGCGAATCTGAGGCTTCGGCACCCCCATGTGCACTGCTGCCAGGACCTGGGCCTAACTGCACCTGCGCCCAGCATCTGTGGCACTGCACTGTCTGTGCTCCTTCTTGCGATCATTGATCCCTCCCAAAGTGAGTGTGCCTGCCACACCATCCTCACTAGCTGAGTGGGTCCCACACAGAGCCTCCTTCTGCAAGGTGCTCCCTTGGAGTTCAAGACTCAGTCTGTTGCTGGGACCTAAGTCACGTGTCTGTGCCCTAGTTGCAAAGGAGGCTGGGAAAGCGAGTCTCACCATGCAGCTTATTGCCATTTCTTCTTCCAGCGACTTCCTTTCCCTCAAGATTCTTCACAACCTCCTCCAAACTGCTGTCAAGTCCTAAATCTCAAGGTCACTTTCTAGTGCTCATCTTCTTCCACCTATGTGACCTTTGACCCTGTTGACCACACCCTCATTCTGGAAACCTCTCAGCTTCAGGTGCTCTAGTTCCCTGGTTCCTGCCTGCCTCTCTGGCATGTCCTCCCCTGTCTCCCATCTTCCATGTGCCCCTTGGATGTTGGGGGTCCCCAGGGCACTACCCATGCCCTCTTCCCACACTACACAGTCCCTGGGCAGCCCCACTCCCTCTGTTGCTTGGGGGCACCTCATTGCCAACAAATCCCAAATCTCTGTCGAATGCAGCGCCTTCCCCTGAGCTCCAGGTGTCCCTGGATGTCCCCTCCTGACGGTGCCTCTGGGTGTCTCATAGCTATTGCACCCTCAGCATGTGCTCACCCAAACCCATCATATTCTTCATACCTGTTCTTCCCACTTATCCCCACCTTCGTTCCCCAGGCCCAGGAGACACCTCGCTTTCTGGGCTGGAATTCTCCGCCCCACCACCCCACCACCCACTCCCCACCCCCGCCCCCGCCCTACTTTCTGCCCTTCACCCTCTGGCCTCTGTTGCCCCAAGAAACCTGTGTGCGCCGGCCCATTACCTCTCTCGACCCGGGCTTCTTTCGGCCAATGGCAGGAGAGTAAGGTCGGGTGTTCTCTCCAGACCCGTGTCTCCGGGCGGTGGGTTGCTGGTGCCGGTGCTCCTCTCGTCCGCTGCAGCCGCAGCCACAGCCACAGCCAAAGCCACAAGCCTCAACAGCGTCAGCTCTTAGCTCACTCCTTCAAGCCCGGGGTAACGGGCCCCCTGCTGCTGGCCTCGGGGTACTGCACCCCTCCTTTGTTGTCCTCCCCTCGGCCCACCCCTAGAAAGCTCCTGCTTTTAAACTCGCTGGCGACCCCATTGAGTGCACCACTGCTTTCCTGCCAGGGCCCGGCCTGGACGTTCTCCCTGAACCCCCTCATGAACCCCGTCTTGCCAACGCCTCCCACCACCTTACTCCAGCCCCCTCTGCTGCCCCAGCCTCCTCCCTGATCTCCCAGCCACCAGCGTCCCAGGCAGCCAGAAGGCAAGTTTGAAAATGTAAATCAGACGATATTAACTGCCCGCCCCCGCGTCCCACCTTTAAGTGCCTTCCAACGCCTTCTGCTCCTAGGATAGAGCCGATGAGGTCTGGAGGGAGCCCTGCCCGCCCACCAATCCCCACACTCCGTTCACGCTAACCACTGGCAGGAATATGAAAAAGTAACTCAAGTCTGCGCACCTTCGCACAGGCAGTGCCCTTTTACTGGAGTAACACACACACACACACACACACACACACAAAATAAAATAAAAAAATAAAATATAAAAAATAAAAAAAACCTTCCTCCTGCCCCGTCAACCCCAGCTCTCCTAATCAGGCAAATTTGGGTCCTTCTCTTCCGAGTTCCCAGGAGGTCATCTGAATACTCGTCTGCGGCTCTGGAATGGGGGCGTGGCCAGGAAGGCTCCGGCGTGGCTGGGGCGTGGCTGGGGAAAGCAGGGTGATCGGTGGGGACGCGGCGAGGAAAGCTCCTGGGCGGGGAGCGGAGGCGCGGCGGAGGCCAGCTCGCGTGGACCTCTGGTGGGGTGGGGGCGTGTGGCTGTGTCCTGCGGAGGACTGTGGGAGTGGAAACCGCGGGTTACCTGGTCAGTTTCACAGTTGCCCGACTCTCAATCAGAGACCCGATTAGCTCCCTCTTCCTGAATCCTAACTTTCCACAGCAAGGTTGTTTTTCAGGCAGAATTTCAAAGTTTTATGGCAACTTTTCCAGAAATCACAGAGAAAAGAGACAGTGACTGGTGCTAATGAGCTAGGACCAGAGAAGGGGAGTGGGTACCAGGTCTGGGATGTTGGGGTGATGCACAACAGGACGTATGACGCTAAAAACCTGTGGGAAGCGGGTGTTACAGGGTCATCCTTAGGGTCCCAAGAAGTGGGCAGCGCTCCCCACACTCCCAGTGTGTTGTCCTTTGGACAGGAAACGTCAACAGTAAAAAAACGGGCATGACCTACCTACAGACAGGTAGCCTTCAAAGTTAAAAGTGCCCACCTAGACCCCCTGGCTCCAGGCCAACCCTCCCACCCACCCTGCTCCCCATCCGGCAGAGATGTGGCAGCATTTGCTGGCTTGTAGCAGTGGTCCTCTGGGACCCTCGGTCTCCTCCTCGAGGGTCCTTCCCGGATTGGCTGGCACCGAGGGCAAAATGAGCCTTCTGGATTGTTATGGGAGATCCACTGGAGTCTCTTTGATTCCTGACCTCCTCCCCAAAGCTGATTCTCATGGCTGGGGAAGTCTGCTGCCCTCTCAAAAGTTCAGTCTGTCGTCCCTTTTCCCTAAGACATGCACCCTTCCGCATCCCCTCCCCAAACACACTATATATACACACAGCCCCCCCCTCCCCAAGGTGTGGCTGGGCTCTCAGAGGTAGTGGAGGCGAGTGGGGGCACTGGAATGTGAGAAGTTGCAGGTTCAAAATGTGCCTCCTCCAGCTCTGAAACCCCAAACTCCTCCCCTACCTTCTCCAAGCCTCGAGAATTAGTGTCCTCCCAAGGGCCTGAGTGGAGAAATCAGGGAAGATGTGCCCCCGTTGTGCACGCATCCACCTGCTCCTCTCCCTCCCCCTAGGGCCCAACGCAGCTCCCTGAGGGTCAGGGGCCAGGGCTGAGATCTGTGACTCAGCCTCCTTCAAGGGTCCCCCAGGGAGGGCTGAGTTCTGAAGCCCTGGGGCCCAGGTTCACAGCTATGGTGGTGGTAGGGTCCTCTAGAGAAAGAAGAAGGTCTTAAGAGATGGAGCAAGGCTGGGTATCAAGGGGGGAAAACGGCAGACTCTCTAGAGAGCCGCTGGGGGCAGGTTCTCACGGGAAAGGCCTCCAGATGGAAATTTCCCCTGGGGTGTAGACAGTAAGTAACTACCAGTGATGGGATGCAGTTGTGGGTAACTCGGAGGACTGGGGGAAGCTCCCCAGGGGCCGGGAGGAGACTGTTGGTGGCGACAGAGGGCAGGGAGATCAATTCCCAGCAGAAAGGGAGGCCGAGCCCCAGGGGAGGAGGCCGGGTCTCTGGAGGACAAAGGAGGCGCGGGTCCCGAGCAGGGGCGGCCGTCTCCGGCGGGAGGCCGGGTCTCTGGGGAGCGCCTAGAAGCCCCGGATGTGGCAGTACGCCTCCAGGCTCGCGAAGAGGATGTAGAGGAACCAGAGGCCGAGGAAGAGCGCCGTGGTGGCGAGCTTGGGGCCGCGCGGGCCGCCCAGCTCGCCGCCGATGTGCGGCCGGCGCCGGTACAGCAGCACCGCGATGCCCACGAAGGCGAAGACGGTGAAGAGCGTGACGGAGAAGGCCAGCGTGCCGGTGCGCACCTCGAAGGGGCGGCCCTGCACCGCCCAGTACACGGCGGCCACCGACCAGGCCACGCCCAGGCCCAGGAACACGTTCACGGCGTTGGAGCCCGTCACGTTGCCGATGGACGCGTCCGCGCACTGGTCCTGCAGCGCCGCCACCTTGCTGGCGAACGTGTCTGCGTGGGCAGAGACGGGCGGTCACCCACAGGCGACGGCATTCACCTGCGCCTGTCGCCCGTTTTCCATTCCCCCCCATGCCCCACCTCTCACTTCTGCGGCGCTGCGCAGACAGAACGGCCTGAGGCCCCTGACCCCACCCAAGAGGCAGAGTCGGTCAGTGCCAGACCAGCGGCCTGCCTCCTGTGGCGCTTGGCTGCATTCAGTGGGATCCACTACCTGCTTCTATGGCACTCGCTGCCTCTTTCGTGGAGACCTGCTGTCTGCTCTCTGTGGGACCTATCACCTATATTCTATAGGGTCTGCTGCCTGCTTTCTAGGGAGCCCACTGCTTTTCCACGGAGCTCTGCCTACTTTCGGTGGGACTCACTGCCCGACTTCTGTGTCGCCCAGTCTCTGCATTCTATGGAGCCTGCTGCCTACTCACTATGGGACTCACTCTCGGCTTCCCATGACCCCACTGCCTGTTCTTCTACGGCCTAGTCATCCCAGTGCCACCCAGCTGGACAGAGTAAGTGTCAGGTTCCACCTACATGCAACCCCTTTTCTGTCAGTTCCCCACTTGGTTCACTCACGCAAGTGGCTTGGTTTCTACAGCCTCCACCCATTTCTGAACATCTGAACATTCACAGTGGTTGCTTTGTACGGGACCCACCACCTGCGTTCTAGGCCTGCAGCGCCACTACCTGACTGGTGAACTTCTGGTGTGGAAAACAGCGGTGTCAGGCTCCCCACACCTGGTAAGGATTTTACTCTTGACCACCCGGTTTCTAAGGGACAGTCCCTCAGGTTTGTTTGGGAAGAGGGGATCACAGCCACTGTTTTTCAATGGGACATGTACTCTAGTCTCTGAAGCCCCATGATCTGATTTCCATGGCACCCCCACCCCTTCTTTGACGTCTGGCTTCTACTCTGCCCCTCATCCTAGTTAAACAGAGTCACTGGCCTGGTGTCTGTCATGCCCACCAACCTAGTTCTATGGAATCTTCCATCTGGTTTCTTGGTGTGTGTGTGGGGGGGGGTGTAATTAACATTTCTATGGACCCACTGAATGGTTTCTATTAAGTCCCCACTGTAGTTCTATGGAACCCCCTCTCCCAACACCCATCTCTTCAATGCCCCGCCACCTTACTACAGAATCCATCATCTGATGTCTACTGTTCCCCATCATCTTAGTTCTATGGGACATTATGCCTAGCTGCTTCTGGGGAGGATTCAATTCACATATTGAATATGGGACCCCAGCCTGGTTTCTTTTAAGCTCCACTGCTGTATTTCTGTGGCATCTTCCACACGGGTCTATATGACTCCACCCCTTCATTTCCACAGGGCCTTTCTCTTAGGCTCCACTGTCTGGCTTCTCTGAGAACCTACTCCGACAAGCAGTCTCCTGGGGGGGTTACCGGGGATGGAGGTGCCCAGGGCCACGAAGACTACGGCGTTGACGGAGTCCTTGAGGCCAACAGTGCAGCCAAAGTGGGAGGCAAGGTCCCCGATGAGGGCAGTGAGCAGGCCGATGACCAGGATGCAGACACCGAAGCAGGCCCAGCCGTGGCAGTACTCAGTTGGGGGTACGCAGGCGAACAGCACCTTCCAGAACACCGTCAGGAAGTGCATGACGTAGTCAAAGCAGGACGGCAGCCGCTCCTCCCGGGACCCGTCCTCCTCCTCCTCCTCGTCCCCTGTGGGCACATGACCCCCCCAGCTGGGGCACACACCCATGCCTTCTTCCTTGCCTACAGAGTTCTCTTTTCACTCAACTTCCAGATAGTGAGTCCAGTAAAATAAATTGATTTCCCAGAATCCCTCGCAGCTGGGAGAATGTATGGGCCCAGGTAAAAATATTCACTTTCCCAGAATCCCTTGAAGCTAGAGGAAGCCATGTGCCCAGCTAAAAATATCAGCTTCCCAGGATCACTTGCTGCTAGAGGTAGCCATATCCCAAGCTAAAAACACTCCTTTCCCAGAAGCTTTTACAGTTACCAACAGTCATTTCCCAGCCAGAAATACTGACTTCTTCTGATTTTCTGCAGCTAACAATAGAAAGGTGATTGTTTTCTCAGAATCCTTTGCAGATAGAGACAGCCAAATACCCACCTAACATTAGTGATTTTTCCAGAATCCCTTGAAGCTAGCAACAGTCATGTCCTCAGCTAAAAACTCACTTTCCCGGAATCCCTTGCACGTGGTAATGTGACCCAGTCTGGCAATGAGACATAAATATTAGAGGGTTTCTGGAAAGTGCTAACTTTCCTGATACTGTGTTATAGATGTTTTCTGAGCTTTCTAAAGGATGTCTCAGTCAACCTTAGAGTTGTTTGTGTCGCCTATTGTGACCAAATTTGACCTGTTTTTGACCTGTAGTGACATGTATAAATGAAATGCACAGATGAAATGTTTTGTCTGCCTTGCCCTAAACTGACAAGCACAAAGCAATAAATGACATGCAGTGAATACATTTGAGTGTGCCAAGCATTAAATCTGGAAAGGCGTTGATAAGAGACACTGTAACCCTTGACCAGTCACTCAGAGCAAGTCAGGGAATAAAAGTCCGGCCACCAAATCATGGAGCCACGTCCCCTGTTTCAACCTAAGGGTTCCTTGTAATGTCAGGGAGCAGAGGACACTGATGGCAGAGAGAGACTGACGGGCTTGGGGATTCAGGATGTATATCCCTTTCCCACTTTTCTGGCTCACTTTAGCCACTTGGCTTGTTAAGAAAAAAAAAATCAATGTTTTAATTTGTAAATGCTTACTTAACTCAGTGGTCTGTGAGTTTCTTGGCTCTACATGCTATATCTCGAAGAATGAGATTTTGTTGTGACTCTATGTAACATGGGATTAGAAACTAAAACTGGAAACTTGAACACAACAGGCATGCTCCTCCTTTCTGGTTCCCTGCTTCCTCTTTCTTCCTGCCTGGAATATGGACTTGATACCTGGAGCTGCAGCAGCAATCTTGCAACCAAGAAGGCAAAAGCTGAGAATGGGAAAAAGAAATAAAAGGGCCTTGGTGTTTAATGATACTACGGGGCTGCTACTTACAGATTTTTTTGTTCTGTAAGAAAAATAAACTCTACTGTGCCTAAGCCAGTTGTGGTCAAGTTTTCTGTTGTCTGCTGCTGAACACATCCCTGGCTGACAACACAGTGAGACATGGCCAAGGTCCAAGAGGGAAGGGGCTGCTATCACTGCATCTCTTGGGGCTTCTCCCTGCCTTGTTTCAAATCCTGCATTGGCTGCCTGTACTCCTGGCCTTGGCATTCCAGAATGGGCAGGCACAGGCCTATGCCTACTTCTCCAGCCGTTCCCATCTAGAGGGAGCCTCACTATTGCATCTGTGGTTTTGGTGTCAAGCCCTTGCCACCTCTCTGGTGTCAAGCCCTTGATCCTCTGTGTGATCCAGAATCAGTCTCCTAACCACTCTGAGCCTCTGATGTCAATTTAAGAAGTGGGAGTAAAAACTGGACCTGCCTCAAGAGAGGGCTGTGCTGGCTATGTGAGTCAGGCCATATCAAATGCTGTGTGCCTGGCCCATCTCCAGTGTGACAGCTACTGTTGAGGGCCCCTGCCGGTGCCTGGGGAATTCAAAGATGCTCCAGGTCCAACCTGGCTTCCAGTCGAGGAAGGCAGGTAAAGGAAACACAAAAACACCTCTGAGTGCAAGCTGGATATGATTCATCCCCTAAGGGAGCGAGAGCTGCGCTTTTCCAGCCATGCCCCAAACAGCCATGCGCTCACAGGGCCAGTCAACAGTGCGAAAGGATCAGGTACTGGGTGGGCACCACTACCTAAATAGGCTTACGCAGTAAATGGACTTTGAGGCCGCCAGGTGCTCCACACATTGTCATGATTGCCTGTTGTCTTTACTGCCATGGTTTACTCTCCCTCCAACCCACTCTTTCCTCTGCTCCCATCACCTGCTTTGCACACACCCCTACCTGACAGCTGGTGGGCCTCTGCGGCCACCACCTAGTACCTGGTTTCACTTTCTTGCTACCCCCTTCTCTTCAGGGCAGCCCAGAAGGAAGCATCCGGCTCCCCACAGGTCTCGGGATAAAGCTTAAGCTTCTCCCTACATCCTGGAGGCCCAAGTGTCCGCCTCCTGCTGGCCTGGCAGCCTTCACTCACTCCGGCCCCATCCTTGTTCTCTTCTTTCTCAAAAAATCTTGAACTCCACCATCTGCCCTCCTTCAAAATGCTCCCAGACCCCCATGCACCAAATGACACCCCAACTCCCTACTGTGGCCCACAAAGACTTGCGTGATCCGGACCCTGCTTACTCCAGCCCCATCCCATGCCTCTTTTTCACACACAAAACTGGTCACCTTCCCTCAACATACTTCCAGACTCTGCACTTGGTTTTCTCTCTGCCTGGAACACTACTGTCCTCTCTCTCCTCCTGGCTAACTCCTATTCCAACTTGAAGACACAGCTCAGAAGCCTCCTCCTCCAGGAAGCCCTCCCTACCCTTTGGGCTGGGTCAGACACCCTACTGGGGCTCCCACCGCTCCCTGGGGTCCTCTGTCCCAGCCCTGCCCGCTCTAGGTTGTCACTCTCTTGTGGCAGGTCTATCTCCCCCACTAGACTGTGAGGACGAGGCCCAAGCTGCCATTGTTCTCTTTGTCCCCGGCAATGTCCTGCATAGAACTGGTCCAGAGGATCCCTCAGAAAGAAATGTCAAAAGAATATGGCTTCGGAGGGAGACGCCAGCCTGTTTCTCTTAGGCCTCCAATCTTGTGTCTCTGGGCCTGCTGCCCTGTGTTTTTCCATCCCCAAAGGACGGAAGACTGGTTGATCTCACAACCAGTTTCTTTCCAACTGCAATGCCTTGTGTTTTCAGTTCCCCCCAGCTAGGCCTTCCCTGCAGGAAACGCGATGCTGTGTAAGGGACAGAAGCCCTGAGTTCCATGTTGGCCCTTTCTGGATTCCCTGTGGGACTTCAGGCCATTTCCTTCTGTCTGTCTGGGCCTCAGTTTCCCCCAATCTGGACCACAAATGGCCAATGTTAGTCTCCCTGATTGTCTGTGAATCCGTGTCCCGTGTCTCTGGCCACAGGGGGGCAGTATGGACCTGTCTAAGGCCTAAGGAGGATGGGAACCCACAGGTGGGAGACAGCTGGGTGCCGTGGTGACCGTCTCCACGGCAACAGAGGAGCCTGGGCTCTGTCTGGGGAGGCCATGCCACTTAACCTGATCCCACCCTCCAAAGGCCTGACACCAGGAGAAAGCCGGCGGGGTCCCCCCTCCCTGCACCTCTTCCCCCTGCCCTTGTCTCTGTATCCCTTTCTCTCTGCCGTCTGCGAGCCACCTGCCCCTCTCTCTGACCCTCTGCATGTCACTCACTTCATTCTCTATGTCACTTGCACTCTCTCTGCACCTCTGTCTTTCTCCATGATTCCCCGGGTGTGTCTCCTGTTTGTCATTGCCCCGTCTTTTCCTTGGTCTGTGTCTCTCTGCTTCTTTCTCTTTTTCTTTGTGTCTGTCTCTCCGTGTTTTGTTTTGTTTTCTTCCCTATTTCCTGTTGCTCTCTGTCCTCTCCTTGTCCCTCTTTCCTTCTTTCCATTCACTTTTCTCTCTTTCTGCCTCCCCATCTCTGTCTCTCCGTTCCTCTCTCCTCTCTCTCTCCCTTTCTCCTCCCTCCCCACTTACCTGCGCTCACCGTAATTGCTTCTAAAAACTGTTCCCTCCATGAATGGGTCCCAATCACCAAAGCCAAGTTGGTTTTCTTGATGAGTTTATCCACCGTGTTCTGCGGATGAAAGGTGGGGGAGAGGTCACTGCCCACGATCATCTCAGGGCACCCTGAAGCCCCACGAGAGGAACTGGGGCTGGGGGCCCATACCCCAGGGGTCCTCAATCTTCCACACCCCAGTTCTAATAGCAAGGGGGAAAAAATGGGAGGCGTGTGCTGTCCATGGTGGTGAGGGGCCTGGAGGATGGCCTCGGACCCTTGGCAGCCCCTTCCTTGCGACCCCCTCCTGGGCTCTCCCTAAGGAAATGACTCAGGCAAGACCCCAGGAAGACGAGACCCCAGAAAGTCACCTTAAAGTCATACGACTCCTCAATGATGACCTCCAGCCGGCAGTTTTCCCCGAGAACTGGCTTGCCCATCTCTGCTATCCTCCGAGCCTCCTCCTCCTCGGCTGTCAGCTTCCTGTCTCCATCCCCTGCAGCATGAAGGATGCAAGTTAGACTCTCAGGAGGCCTACGTAATTAGGCCTGCGATGCCTTCATTACCTGTTCCCATAAAGTCTGCTGTCCTCTGGGAAGCCTCTTTGGTGACATCCCCCTAGCCTGCCCCAGCCTCCCATCTGACCACCACTATGCCCTCAATCTGAGACCCAGCTCCTATGGGCTGGTCCATAAAGTTCAGCTGTTGAGCTCTGGGGTTCATACAGTGGGGGCTGTGTGACTTTGGGCAATGCCTTAGCCTCTCTGAGCCTGTGTTCATATCTGTAAAATGGGTAGAATAACAATCCCTACCTCACAGGGAGGCTGTGAAAAAGCTAAAGGAGTTAATTCATGTGAAGTGCTCAGCACAGTGCCTTGCACACAACGAATAGCCAAGAACACTATCATCTTTATTATCATCACCAACATCGTTATCACCATCACCATCCTCCTGGGGGGAGACCTGGGCTCTACATCCAAGCTCTGAAAACACCCTTGAGTATGTCTGAGGAGGTGAGGAAAGAGGGGGATACACCATTTTAGTACAAATTTTGGCCCTGAGCTCATTTATCTCCCCAGAGTGTGCTGACACTTTGCTGCAAGCCTAGCACCAATCCAACCCCAACTCTCAGAAGAGAGCCGCCCTCCAACCAGGAACACTCAGAAGACTCTGCCCAAGCAAGAAACAACTTTTACTGAGTTAAGCTATGGGGATCTGGGGGCCTATTTGTTACAGAAGCTTCTATTATTTACCCTGACTAGTCCAATCTCTAATCTAACCCTGATCCTAACTTCCAACTCTGATTCTGATCTCAACTCCAAAACTACTCCGTCACTATTTCCAAGCCACTGCCCCTGGCCCCAACTCCCACCCCAATCTCTGACCTGATGTTCTAACCACAAATCCCCCAAACTCACCTTACCTTTGACTTAAATCTGACCCCGTTTCTAATCCGATCTCACCACAAACCCAGCAAGCAACCTCCAGCTTAATGCTAACCCTGAGCCAGTCTGAGTCCTGATTCCAAATCCTAATCCCACCCCAGTCCTAATCAACCCCAAACCTGATTCTCTCTGACCCCACCACAAACCCAGAATGGAGTCTATGGCTTAACCATTCTCCCAACCCTAACTATAAACAAAACTTGGTCTTGGCCTCTGAATCCCTCCCTGTAACCCGAAACTCAACGGACCCCGCCAACCCTAAGGCTAGCTCCAACCCTCACCCAGCCCAAATCTACCTTTATCTCTACCTCTAACCTGCCTCAAACCGGACACGACCTCCCCTGAGATCTCCCTCCAGCATCTCCCCTCCGGACAAAGCCCGGTGGTCACCCCACTCACCTTGATTGAGAAGCAGAGCTGGGGAGAGACAGAGACAAAGAGAAAGTGAGATCGCGTCCCTGGGAACTCAGAGCCATGAGCTTGAAGGCAGAGCCCATGACTGGGTCTCTCAGGGTCTCCCTCCCTGGGCCTCGTAGCTCTCCCAGAGCCCCCGCGTCGGTCCTCACCTGAAATGCCTCGCTTCAGCCACTGAGGCTGGCCCAGCTCGATGAAGAAATTATCCTTTTTCTCATATTCCTCGTCATCCACTATCTTCACCTGAAGAGTTTTCCTGAGAGGGAGGCAGACCCCAGCTTAAGGCTCCCTCCTCGAAACCACTAACTTGCCCATTAGCCACCCAGCCCCTTGAGCACCCACTCCATCCCAGGCCCTGCATCCTCATTAATCTTTACAACCACCCTCAAAGGGAGGCTCTCTAATCATCTCCATTTGACAGAAACAAGCCCAGAAACAGCTGAGGAAGCTGAAGTTTATTAGAGAGCAACCTGAGGAATCCTGCTAAAATCTAAGTTAGATCAGGTCCTTCCTATTCACATGGCTCCCATCTCATTGGGAATAATAGCCTAGGTCCTCAGAATGGCCCACAATCTGGCCCTTGTTCCCTTTCTGACCTCCCAGCACTCTCCCCTTTGCTCACTCCAGCTATACTGGCCTCCCCACTGTTCCTGGAACCAGGCCTGCTCATGCCTCAGGGCCTTTGCACTGGCTGTTTCTTCTACTTAGAACACTCTTCTCCTTCTGTTCCTCCAGTTCTCTTTTCACACTTCTCCTTCTTCTCAGTGAGGCCCACTCCCACCACCTTCATGAATAACAAAATCCACCCCAGCATGCCTGTCCCCCTTACCCTGCTCTATGTCTTCTCTGTTCTATATCACCTTCTAACACACCATCTAATGTGTTCGCGTATCATTTACCATTTGCCTCCTCTAATTGTAAGTCCCATCAGGGCAGTGGTCGTTGTTCATTTATGTTCTCTGCTGTACTCCCAGCGCACAGAACAATGCCTGGATTAGAGTAGCCCTCCATAAACATGCGCTAACTTGAATCCTTCAGCCCAGGAGACCTTCCCCGGTTTTCTGCCCTCTGTCCTGACCCCATTTGGAGGGTTAACTGAGAACTAAGTGATTTTCTCAGCATCCCCATGCTATGGAACCAGAGGGTGGCAGGGGACGCACCGCCAGAAGTTATCTATCCCTCTGGCACACACCTACCCCCTTGATTACAAAGACCGGCAACCCCAGCAAGTCCACAGCTCTGCCATTAGCAGCATTTTCAGCTGTAGGAACCACAAGACCTGGCCCCAGAACCCCAAAGCGCAAACACCCAGCCTACACAGTCAGCCAGCAGAGGAAGCACAGCCAGTCACACCGCCCACACCCACACACAATCACACCCCGCCGCCATTCTCTATGCGGTGGCAAAATCCCAGGGACCAGATGCCTGTTAGCGCAACACCCCCCCCACAGCCGTGGCACCACCAGCCTGCAGACCCCCACTGTGGTACCATGCACTCACTCCTTTCTTCTACCTTGTTCTTTCTGACTCCTAGTGTCTGTTTACTCCCTGAAATGGTCTCTTTCTGCATTTTGGTCTCTCATTCTTCTTCTGTCTCTCTGGCCATGTCATCCTCTCTGTGTGTCTGTCTCTCCATGTGTCTCTGTCTCTGACCCTCCTGTCCCAGTCTCTCTCCATCTCCCAGCCTTTCTTTATCTGTCCTTCTCTCCCCACCTTGGTCTCTCAATGTCCACAGAATGGAATGGCCAGAGCCAACACAATCCATCCGAAAGGGTCTCAGTCATACCGTCACTCCAAGAACCCGTCTCAATACCCTCATGCACAGGACACAGCAACACCCACGCAAAGACGTACACACACACAGGACAGTCATGTGAGGGCACGTGCCCACCTCCACCCTCATCCCCTCCCAGTCTCAGAATATTTTAAACTTCCCGTGGGCGGAAAGAAATGGCGCCCCCACCTCAGGAGTGGGGCGGGAGCTGTCCGCGGTGCTGAAACACCGAGCGGCGAGGAGTGAGGTTGCCTGAGACACCCCTCACACGCCCTGACACACGCAGACAGCTGCTGACACGGTGACATGCTGACAAGGCGATGTACACACAGCTCCGACGCTCACCCCCTCACAGACAGGCCGTGCTCCACGCACATGCAGTGACTGACACACGGTGACAGGCGGGCCAACTGGCACCCTGACAGGCACGCCCTGAGGGGACCCAGGAGGAGAAGAAACCCAACCGATAGGGAACAGCCAGGGGTACTTGAGCCAGACAAGGGCAGGACTTCCTGAGGTCAAGGGAAGACTCTTCCTCCCCAGCTGGACGTTCTGTCACCTCCTGTTTCCTGGGGAGTCCACCCTCTCTCCTGCCCTGCCCCCCGATCTCAGACCCTGTCTCTTTCTCACCCCGTCTCTCGTCCTCTCTCAGTGACCCAAACTCTATTCTCTCACTAGCATCGGGAGGAGGATTCCTTCCCCGAGTCCCACTGTGTTTCTCTCAGTGCTGAGCTTGTCTCTCTTTCTGTCTCCCCTCCGTCTCTCCTCCTCTGGTCCCCCTGATCTCAGCCTCTCAGTCTCTCCCTCTCTCGGAGTATCAGTCTCTGTTTCCTTCTCCTTTTGTACCTTTCTCTTAAGTTTCTTTCTCTCTCTCTCATGTTCTCTGCCTCTCTTTTCCGTGTTTCTCTGTTATTATCTCTGCCTCTCTTTTTCTCTAGGCCTCCCTGTCTCTGGGTGCCTGTTTGTTCCCCCCTTCCTGCATTCTCTCCCGCCATCCCCTCTCTGGGCGTCTCTCCTCCATCTCTGTGTTGATCCTGCCCGGGGCCACCCCTCCAGCCGGGCTGCTTCCAAGCACCTCTAATTAGCGCCTGCCAGTCAGAGGACGGATGTGTTTCCCTAAACGCTAATTAGCCTCCTGTTCTCTGTCTCCTGGAGCCACAGCTGGAAGCTTGGGCGGGGGCGGGGGCGAGGGACAGGGGGTGTCCCAGCCTGGGGAAGCCGTGTGGGGGAAGAGAGGGCCTGTGGGGTCGCAGCAGCAGGAGGGAAGTGGGTTAGACTACAGGAAGGACCAGAACAAGCAGAAAGACCACTCTCCCTATCCCCCCCCTGCCTCTGCTGTGAGAGATGCCGACTGGGATAGTGCCCTCAGTCCCCAGCCCAAGCACTCAACCCAAGCCAGACAGGGAGATGGAAAGATATGGAAAAGCCGTGTCCGAACCACAACCAGGTTAGATAGCTAGATACTGGGACAGAGATGTAGAGACCAAAACAAGAGACCCAGAGGGAGACTAGCAGGAAGCGCGACCCAGAGACGCGATGGGAGAGATGGACACAGGGAGAGCAGAGGGGAGCGGAGCGGAGGCCGAGCACAGTGGCTGGGAGGGGAGAGGGAGGGGGCGCCTGGGGGGAGGAGTGTGGGCGGCGGAGGCTGGAGACAGACGGGCGCGCGGGGGCGACAGGGAGCGGGCCTGAGGGCCTCGCGGGCCGCATCCCAGGCAGGCGGTGGAGGATGTGAGGCTGCAAGCGCACATGGGGGAGACTGGGGAGACTGGCGCTGTGCAAGGCGCTGGTCGTGTGACTGGGCGTGAGGACAGCCCTGACTGTTTTAGCGTGCGTGTCCGGGCTGTGTGTTTGCGCCAGCGTGCGTGTTGGTTGTCACTGTGTGTCTACATGCCTGTACGTTCGTATGTATGCCTGAGTTTTTGGTCCACCTCCATAGATCCCTCACCCCACTTTCCCAAACCCCAGCCCTCCAGTTTCCCCGGTGTCACCCCAGGACCTGCCCCCAGCTTCCCAGGCCCCCAAATTCCTACTCAGTCTTTTCCCAAAGCCTCGCCCACATTCCCCTACGGTGTGCCATTTCCCTAGGTCTTCCTCCTACCCACAAGCTCCACCCCTTTTCGCAGACCCCGCCCAAACAACTTAGGCCCCGCCCTCTATCGCAGTTCTGGTCAATTTCTATATGTCCCTACCCCCACCTGTAGCCTTAAGCCTTGCCCCTTCCCCATTCTTCAGACTCGCACCCCATTTCCACAGAGACCGTCTCACCTCGACAGGACCCTTCTCTCCTCCCCTCAGGGCTCCTCTCCTCAGACTACACTCTCTCCACCCTCTGCCAATTACTGTCTTCACCCTCCGCTCCCAGGCCTTTATCTGGTCCCCTCTCTTCTTCGCCGGGCCCTTCCTCTCCCGGTGCCGCCCTCCTCTTCCCAGAGCAGCCTTGCTCCAGGCCCCTTCCACGCCCGTCCCCCCATCACTTTGTCTCCTCCCTACTCTTCCCTGCTCCTCCCTCTCTCGAGGCCTGGCCCACCTCCCAGCCCTTCATTTCACAGGCAAGGTCCCACCCAAGCCCCGCCCACCAAGTGAGCACGCCCCAAAGATTCCAGTGCCCCGCCCACCGGGCAGCGCCGCCCATGCCCATCGCGCGCGTCAAGCTACAATCCGGGTAGAGTCTCCCAGGCCTGGGACCCGCCCTTCCCGCCGGTCCAGCCGCGTTTCCCCTGCGGCGGGCAGCGCTCACGTGGTCTCGTCGTCGCCAAACTCCAGCTCGCCGCAGGCGTCCTCGTAGTGCACGCCGCCGCCGCGCGCCGTGCCGTCCACCGTGCGGTAGGGGAGGCGCACGGTGCCGCGCGCGCCCGAGCTGCGCACGACGCGCACGTCCACGGTGCCCATGCACTCGCTCACGTGCAGCAGGCGGTCCTGGAAGGAGAAGATGCCCGCGTGGTCGTCGTCCAGGATGGTGACGGTGGCCAGCAGCGGTGCCACCAGCCGCCCCTTGGGCCGCCCGCCGCCATCGGGCTCGAACATGCCCTGTGCATCGCCCACACGTAGGTTCAGCAGCCGCACGAAGAAGTGCTCGTCTTCCTCGAAGATGTCGTCGTCGATGATGCCGATGCGCAGCTCCTTCTGTGTCTCGCCCGGCTTGAACACCAGCGTGCCCTCGCTACGGCACAGGAGGAGGGAAAGAGAGGGTTGAAGGTCGGTCAACGGCTGTGGAGTGGCGGGGGGGAGAGGGGATCAGAGCCGGCTTCCTGGAGGAGGCAGCGGCGCCATGGTAGGACTCAAACGTGAGGGTGGGCAGGTATTAAACAAGTAATACTGAAAGTGAATCAGGGTGGGCTTCTGGAAGGGAGGGGACGCAGAAGGGGTGCAAGACAGCTGGTGCCTCCAGCGAACCCATGTGGAATAGGAGAGCCAGCATAAAACAGACAACAGTGAAGGTGATATAAGACAGGCTTCCTTGGGGAGGCTTTAGTGGGCAAGAGTGCTCCAGGCAGAGGGAACAGCACATGCAAAGTCCCAGAGTGGAGAGGAGCATGCATTTCAGACCTTAATGTGCACACAAAGCCCCTGGGGGATTCTGTTAAAATAGCAGATTATGGTTCATTAGCTCTGGATTTCAAGACTGTATTTCTAACTCTGTTCCATGGGATGTGGATGGTCCTGGTACATGGACCACACTTGTAGCAGGAATGCAGGGCCCGAACTGACCTTGTCACGCTTCTGATAAACACCCTTCTTTGCTCCCAGGTACTCACAAGGGAAAGTCCACACGCCTAAAATCTGCATCATTCATTCATTCAACAAACACTCCCTGAGCACCAACTCTGTGCTCTGTGCCCAGCAGTGCTGAGAATACAGCAGGAAACAGGCCCTGTCTTCATGGGGCTCACAGCTCCAAGGAACAGCCATACCACAGCGACAGTTATGCATTTGATTACTTAATTACAGTCCATTCATTCAACAAATAATTTACTGAATACCTGCTGTGTACCACACGCACTGTTCTTACTGTTGGAAATAGTAGCAAAACCAGACAGATCACAGAAAAATCCCTGCCCTTGTGGAACTTCTGTTCTAGTGCAGGAGATGAATAATAAACAGATAATATAATGTCAGGTGGTGATGGTGCTGTGGAGAAAAATAGAGGAAAAAGGAGAGAGCAAGGAGAGGGTGCTGTGTTAAGGTGTCAGGGAAAGCTTTCCTGAGGATGGGACAATTGAGCAGAGACCTAAAGGAGGGAGCCACGTGGAGGGTATCTGGAGAAGAGTATTCCTGGTAAAGGGAACAGCCAGTGCAAATGTCCTGAGGCAAGAACAGGTTGACGTGTTTGTGGAACAGTGAGGAGGTCAGTATCGTTGCAGCAGAGAGAGCAAGGGAGAGAGCGTGGGAGATGATGTCACAGAGGGAACAAGGGCAGGTGTCAAGGGCCCTGGTGGGCCACAGTGAGACAGGAACCATGGGAAACCAATGAGCAGAGGACGGACGTGAGGTGACTTAGGTTTAAAAGAGCATCCGTTATGTGAGTCTCTGAAGCACACACACCCAAGATGCTCTATAATGGGGCAGGGGTGAGAATGAGGCAGTGACATTAGACAAGTCGGGGTGAAACTTTGAAGCGACGGAGTGAGTGGGCTCCTCCTGGCACAGCTGTAGACATCAAAATGGCTCTGGATGTTAGTACGTCTTGGGAATCTATGATTTCCCTTCCCAATCCCTCCCTCCATGGAGCTTGGCACTGTTTCTGAAACAGGTGTGACTGATAAGTGTTCACTATCATTACTATGATCACTTTTATAAGAAAGGGGTCCTGGGCTCCAGTTCTCCGAGAGAAGTTCCTCTGTGGGAGGGGCAGAGGGACCCCAAGGTTCTGGCAAAGAGGCAGACTAGTGACAGGACTTGACGTGGAGGGATAAGGGGCATCCTGTTGCTGGAGCCCTCAGGGTGGGAAACGCTGTCCATGGTGGTAAGGCACCCAGACGGGTGGGCTGACCTGTTCCAGGCCAGGCTTGACCACCATGCTGTATGATCTCCAGCAGTTAACATTCTGCAGCCCCCTGAGCTTTGCCCCTACAGTTCCCTCATCTGTAAAATGGAGCTAATAACAGTGTCTACTTCATGACACGTTAGGAAGATTGAGTTAATACAGGAGAAGCACTTGAATCAAGTTAACTAGTGACAGTTGTATATTACTAGCATCTTAAAATCCTCATGTTATGGAATGTTAGACATGTAAACTTAAGGGGCAGAAGAATGTGAAGATTTTAGCACCATCTTTATCAAATGATTCAGCTGGACAAGTGGGGGGTCATGCACCTTCTGGTATGAATGTACCAAGAAGGGCACAGCATCACTTCCATGGAGTCCTGCTAATGGTGCATCACCTGAATCTAATCATGTGGAAACTAGACAGACCCAAATGGAGCATTGTTGTAGTAACTGGCCTATCATCAAAAGCTTTGGGGTTACAGAAGTCATGGAAAGGCTGAGGGATTGCTTCAGACTGAAGAAGGCTAAAGAGACATGACAACCAAATGTAAGGCATGGCTCTGGATTGGAGGGAAGTGAGGAAGGGAGAGAGAATTTAGCCATAAAGGAGGATGCGCTGCAGGGACACCTGGGGATATGCAAACATGCGCCGTGCATTGGGTAACAATACTGATTCAGCATTACATTTCCCAAGCGTGATGACTGCACTGTGATTATGTAGGAGAATGCCATTATTCTTAGCAGATGCACACTTGAGTATTTATGGGTGAGTGGCCATGCTGTCTGCTACTCACTCTCATGCCGTGCCACAATGATTAATCGTACTATATGTTAAGTAGGGCAAGTGCAAACAGGACAAAGGATGAAGAATTGATGAATCTGAGTGAAGATTTGCCAAATTGTTTTTGCAGCCCTCTGTAGGTATGAAATTTTTCGAGATGAAAAGTTGGGGAGGAAAAGAACAAGGGGGTTTTTAGAAACCAGGTATCAGAATCCCAGAAGGCTAGATTTATAGGGCTCGTGTTCTAACACAATAAAGAAGATCTGAGAAAATGAAAATCCTAGGTCTGTCAAATCAGAGACTGCTTGGGGTATGAATTAGAATACCAAAATGTGGGAATCCTGGCATGTTAGAACTGTAGGCCCTTAGTATATTACGATTATAGGGGCTTATATTTCAGAATCTTGGAACAGTTGTGCTGTTTGGGGTGGGGGCCTCAGAAATCATGTTTAATTTGGAGAGACAGGTCCACAGGACACCCTAGCCCATTTGATACCTGTCAGCAAATTAGAAAAAGGCTTCCCTTCTTCAGGACAGTTTATTTCCATGAATCAGGAAATTGTCATAATAGACATACAGATCTACAATGTCCACTATGTGACTAGAGCTTCCTTAGATGTGGTGCTCTTATGCAGTGCACGACCTCAACAACTGTATATGACAACCCTGCCTGTCCAGTCTGAGGCAGGAACTGTCCAAGGAACAGGGCACAGGGTAAAGCTTCAGGGCTTTGATGGGGCCAATACAGACCAGGGGTGTGGGTAAGAACACAATGGTGAAGAAATTGAATGACAGCAAGTCCCAAGATGGTGAATGCCTTTTGCTCAATCAAAGGAGGTTGGGAGATGTGGGACAGTGGGAACAGGATGGGAGGACAATGTCATGGGTGGCTGAAGGGATCCTATGCTACAGGATGACAGAACAAAGATCCATGAATGGTGGTGCCCTACTCAGGAGAAGGTGGGGGTGGGGCAGACAAAGGGTCCTGGACTGACTGAGCTGGAGGGAACCTTCAAATGTCCAAAGCAGCAGAAAGACAGGAAGATGTGATGGGGCGGAGAAGGGGCCTGGGCTCCTGAGGCACAGTGATGGAACTGAAGCTCTGTGGACCAGAGCCCTCAGCTCCAGCAAGAGAATAGTTAAAGGGATGAGCGACCGACTGCTGTGTGATGGCAGAACCAAAGATCTGTGAACAGTTCAGCCCCAGCTTTACCCTAGGGAGAGGAGGAAAGGTGGGTGTGGCCGACTACTTAGGTGGAGCCCCGTCAAAAGCTCAGCCACCAACTCTGAGCTTTGTCATAGCTCTTACTACCCCTTGACATACGCAGTGTATTCTTCCTAATGGCCTGTCTTTCCCATGAGAATGTCACCTCCATTTGGGCAGGGACTTTGTGTATCTCATTCACCGCTAGTTTCCATTGCCCGGATCCATTTCTGGCACATCATAGAAACATGATAAATGTTATTACTATAAGAAACTCTGGGAGACTTGCACAGTGGTTAGCAAAATATACTGTAGAGCTATAATTCTTGAAAGAGTGTGGTATGGACAGAAGCACTACAATAGATAAAGAACATTGTGGGCTACATGAGGACAGAGAAGTTATCTTATTCACTGTTCCATGTTGAACCCCCCCTACCATCCCCCCCACCAAAAGCATCTGGCACATAGTAGGTGCTCAGTAGGAATTGCTGACTGAGGGAGGGTCACAGGTCTGCACAAAGTACTGCAGAGGGACTGGGATAGGAGACACCAGAGTGCCAAGGGTGGTTGCTGTGTGGTGGGACCGAAGACCTGGGGACAAGTTGGGCACCATCTCTCTCTTTTCATCCCACTTAACTTTCCCCTGTGGCACTTACCATCACCTGACACTTTTATATGTGTAACAGCTTATAACTATGGCAATTTGAGGGCAGGGACCTTAGCTGTCTTGTTCACCAGGTGTACCCCTTGCATATAATAGGTGCTCGGTAAACATTCTTACTGTATAATGATATGTGCCTGTGGAGGTTCTTGCACCACCAGGTAATAATACTTATAATGGAGCTATGACAATCAACACAAGAACCCACAGATAGATAATGAACATGGGAGGGGCAGCCTGTGGACAGTTTATCCAGCAGTGTGCGCCAGACGCCTAGAGCAATGTCTGGTACAAAGTGGGCTCCTGAGAGCGACAGAGGGAGTGGGTGAATGAATGCTGCAGGTCTGTCCACAGCCAGGTAAAGATGCGCGGGCCCGAGGCGGCCAGAAGACCCCGCTGCGGAATGGTGGAGCCTACGCCCTGCGAACGGCCAACCCTCCGTGCCGGGCCACCCCAGGCGGGCCCTACCTGTACTCGTAGTCGGAGCCGGCCTTGGCGGAGCCGTCCTCGGTGCGGTAGTCCACGTAGAACGTGCTGTTGCCCTCGCCGCCTTGGCAGGTGACGGAGAGCAGCACGGAGCCGCAGTTCTCCAGGCAGTGGTAGAGGCTGGGCTCGAAGAAGATGCGGCTGGCGCCGTCGTCCTCGTCGTCGCCGGGGCCGTCGGCCGGGGCCGCCCTGCGCGAGGAGTCCACCGCGTGTCGCCGTAGCACGTTGCCCGCGCCGGTCATCAGCCGTGTGGCCTGGATGCGGTAGAAGGCGCGGCTCTTCTGCTGGTGCAGCAGCGCGTAGTAGTTGGCGATGCCCACCAGCTGCTCCAGGTCCTTGTCCGGGTGCTTCTGCTTGAGGTCCTTGAGGATCTGGATGACCTCGCGGCGGCTGGCGTCCAGCTCGCGGGCCTCGGCGGGGCCCGGGCCCAGGCCGACCATTTCGCCCGGCACCTCGGCGCCCACAAACGTGCCGTCCAGCTCGATGCTCTTTGGGGGGTCGCCCTCCGCGCCGATGATGATGCCGCTGCGCGGGTCCGTGCGGTAGCGCTTGTACACGTACTTGTAGAAGAGCAGCCGCTTGTCGGCCATCCAGGCGAACACCACGCACACCGGGAAGAAGACGAGGGTGAGCAGCGCTTCCCACACCTGCGGGCGGCCGCGCTGGTCAGGGCCAGGCCCGCCGCGTCAACAGGGGGCGCGATCGCCCCGGCCCGGCGCGGGCCCGGGGCCCCCCGCGCGCCGCCCCTTCTCCGTCCGCCTCCGCCCCTCTCGGCTTCGCCCTTGGGTTGGGTTATCCCTGCCTCTCCATCTCTCTTTCTCTACCTCCTCTCTCTGTCTCTGTTCGTCTCTGCTTCTCCCCATTTCTGCCTCCTTCTCCCAATTCCGCCTCTGTCTTGTCTTCTTTCCCCTGTATCCCATTTCTCCCTGTCTCCTTTCCCCCGTCTCTCTGGCTCTCATCTCTCTTCGTCTCAGCCTCTGCCCCTCTCTCTATCTAGGTCGCTGTTGTCTTTATTTGCCTCATTCCATGTCAACTGGTTTTTTCTCTCTCCTTTTGGTCGCCTCTATCTCCCTGTCTCCACGACCTTTTATATCTTTTGTAGATACCCATCTCCTTGTGAGAGTCTCCACAGCCCCTACCCCCCACCATGTCTGTCTGTCTGTCTTCTGTCTCCTGGTCTCCTCTTTCGTCCATCCATCCACCTTTCACACGTGAGAACCAAGCCCAGCTGCCCAAATGCCAGGCCTCCAGACATCCTCAGCCGCCACTAAGCAACAGAGGGGTCCCCACCCTGCGGTGCCCGCCCCTGTCAAAGGGCAGAGCCTGTGTCTCTTCCTGCCCCTCTTTCCCTCTGTTCTTTTTTCTCCCCGCTCCCATTTCCCCTCTTCACCAAACCCTACCCATTGTCCAGGGTCCGCTCTCTCCTCACCTCCTCCCCAAACTCCCTCCATTCCCCACCACCAGTGAATACAGGCTTGCCACAATCTCCTTCCTTAGAATTTGTTTGGCCCTTAGGGACGGGACTGTCACTCTAAAGGAGGCCCAAGTTTGGCTCTTCTCGAAGCTTCATGAAATGAGTTCCCCTGTTTACCTGCTCCCTTGCCACAGAGACAAGCCAATGCTAAGTTCAGATCCTAGATCTAGAGGAGGGCTGCCTGGCCCAGCCCCTTGTCTGTAAAACGGGGACATCCCCAAGAATGAATGAGCTTATGCATCCTAGCACTTTGCATTGCTGGTTCCTGATACATAGGAAATACTCAAAACGTGAAGTGAACATCACCATTATTGTTAGCAGTAGTGCCATCATCTTGGGCTTATTGAGGTCTGGACTCAGTTAGCCCATGGCCGGGCTCAGGCCTGGGCACATACAGGAAATATCCAACACTAGACAGTTTGCCTTGAAAACATTCACATAAAGAGTAAAAGTTACCTTTTTCATTAAAGGCAAGGAAGAACAGATTCGAGAGTATTTACAATCAGATGGCTCCAGAGTATCTCTGCAATAAGCCAGGTAGGGAAAATACCAGGTTTTAAGGTCCAATGGCCACATTCCTTGTTGCTGTGTTTTCTGATGGCTCAGAGAGAAGACAGGACAGGGAAATAGTAAAAGCACACAAAGCCACCAGGCGGGTTGTGAAATGAAGCCGAATTTTCCACACAAACTAAAACAAACTGTTGCTTGTGTTCTGGCCACTATGTATATTGCAAGGGATTCTCTCTCAATCAGAAGACAATCTCAAATTTGTAAGATTTGCTTTCCTCCCTACAGGTAAATAAATGGTGATTCTAGTAAATTCATGTCTTCCTTCTAGGGCACCCACTGCAAACAGGCAATGGCCTTGACCACTCTAGAAGGCAGTGGGTGACCTTCAGGTCTCAGTGGCCAGGTATGCCCCCAAGAGGCAGTATCACAAATCTAGGAGTGTTTATGGATTGCCACCATAACTGGGAAGGGGGTTATGGTCCCACCTTGGTGACATACAGAGACTCACAGGAGAGTCCCACCCAAGGCAGAATCGTCCCATATCCTGCCTGATTTCAATACCTCCCTTTGGACATTCACATACGTGAAAACCATTCTTATAATAATTGAAGTCTAGAACTCAGCTGTTTTATGTATATATGAAGTATTTTCCTGTATGGCTGAATATGCACTGAACACGATCATGTTTAATCTCGTGACTATCTGCTCCTCTGCTCAGCTCCTTGAATGGGAGGGCCTCTCATCTTTTTCTGTCTCTTAAACCCAAACTTCACCATAAGTAGGTGCCAGCATCAGACTTCCTGGTCATGACTTTTAAGGTAGTCACGCCGAAGCATTTACACGTGCAAGTGCAGATGTTCGAATAGTGATTACTTTCTTTTATATCATGGTTTGGGCATTACACTGACTTGGGAAGCCGACAGCATCGGCAAGTTCCTTAGTGGGAAGAACAGCTCGCACCTGCTCTGTTCCAGGATGGCTGTTCTAGGCCTTTTCACATATAGCAACTTACTTGATCCTCACGCAGCCCTATGATGGCACCTGGGATGAGAGGTGGGGAAACTGAGGCACAGATCCAGCAAGGAACTTGCCCAAGGCCATACAGCTAGGAAGCAGTAGAGGTGGGATTTGAATCCAGGCCTCTGGCTCCAGGGTCCACATATCAAACTCAAGAGGCTAGAAGACCTCTCTCCTATTATTTAAGAATTCCACATCAGCGAGTAATGGGGATCCGCCAAAATATGTTAGAAAAAGGGAGCATTGGGTATGAAGGGTCAAGAACTAATGGCCTAGTCCCACCCCTTCCATGGTTCATATGTGAAAACTGAGGCCCAGAGAGGGTACAGGCTTCACCTGAGGTCACACAGCACTCCTGGAGAAAATCCAGAGCCGGACTGATGTCACTGCCCCAGGTCACCGCATCTAGGAAGAACTGGCATCCTCTTTAGCACATGTCAGTTCTTTCAGTTATTTCATGAGAATTTCCCATAATTCCAGCCTCCATGTTACTCCCGAAGGGATCTTCCGTGGCTGCTTCCCTGCCCAGAGCTGGGGTGTTGTACACCCTCTGTTCCCTTTGTCTGAGTCAGCACCTTCTCAGGGGGACACCTCTCCTCCACCCCCATTGCTGCCCCACCTCTTCCCCATGGTGTCTAAAATGCCTTTCACAGTTTTGGTGTAAATCCTCATTAAAGACCATTTTAGAAACCTAAGCCAGGATACCATCTTTTTAATAGCGCCTGAGAAGTGGGTGCTGCATTATTCTGTACTTTTTGTCGTGGCCGCCTGGGAACTGCATTTCAGCCCTGAGGCAGTGGCAGCGGCAGTCTCTCTCCCTCTCACATCCCCGTCTGCTGGTGCCACCATCTCCCTCTTTGTTCGCCATGGTTTGTGATCCCTCACCTCTGCCTCTCTATCATCTGCAAAGAATTTTTATACCTCTGACTTCAGATCCTTCCTGGAAAGAAATTGTAACTATCAAAACCTGACAGATATGCATAAATAGATTATACACATGTGTGACGGAATCCTGGGAAGCCTCAAATAAATTATGCATGTGTATGAACGAATTAAGCCAGGCCCATAAATAAATTATATAAATGTACGTGGTAGTTGTGGGGCTGTGGGAAATAAATTAGGCAAATGTTCTAAAGGAAGACAAAGCCATGTGCAGATTAAGACACTGGACAAATAGGAGGCAAATGATTATGTGAATGTGGGTGTAAATTATGCCACTGTGGGTTTAAATTTTGTTTCACTGTTGGAATAAATTAGGCAAAACGATCTTTGCAGTGGACTGGGCTTGTACGTATGTTGGTTGGATGTGAATATAAGTTACAGTGAAATGGCATAAACTGTCCTAACATCAGAAATCAGTTAGGAATAATGAATGAATTATGCAAACCACGATTGCGTATCTAGCAAATAGAGATCTAGATTATGCAGAGATGAGCACGTATTTATGCAAACCCATGGATAAATTATGCAAATTGCACCAAATTACCCAAATCAGTGAGCACTGTCAGAAAACACAAGGCTGGATTATGCAACTATAGCATGAATTATACAGATGGGGGATGTCTTACTGCAAAAGCCGGAATAAATTATGCAAAAGGCAGGGTGCATAGGAAAACATAAACATATCTGGCAAATACCTGGCTAGACTGAACTGCAGGATGCATTACACAGATCACAGGGACTGTGTTGGTGCATATGGCACCCTTGTGAGAGCTAATGGGCTCTGTCTTGATAGGTAAATTGCAAAATGGCACTCCCCCTGTGGGCAGGTGAGCCCTTTTTAGGGCCTGCAGAGCCATCCAGAAATGGCTCAGGAGCATCCTCTGGCCTCCAGCCCCAACTTGCCCCCTCCAGCCCAGTATCCCAGAACAGTGGGTGACCTGCACCACCACACCTGGTAGCCTTCTCAGATGTGAGCATGCATTTCTGCAAATACACAAATCGATTCTGCAAGCCCAGGGAACCACCCCTCTGGATTTTGTAGATATACATGCACCCAGGTGTCCCTGGGACCTTGCTCACCTGGACCACACCCGGGGAAAAGACAGCAAGGATGAGATAAAGCCATACGTAGGCAAAGATACTCCAAGAGGCAGTGACGAAGAAGACTCTTAGGTGCTTGATCTTGCGGCTCTCGCCAGCCGGGATGACGTAGATGCACACGGCGATGACCACAAACATGTTGAAGGCGGCGCTGCCCACGATAGTGCCCGGGCCCAGCTCGCCCGCCTGGAAGTTGTGGCCGCAGACCTCGATGACAGACAGCAGGATCTCAGGCGCCGAGGAGCCCAGGGCCATGAGCGTGAGGTTGGACACGGTCTCATTCCAGATGCGGACGGTGCCCACACTGGTCTCGCCATTGGCCTTGGTGATGGTGATCTCCTTCTCCTTCGACGTGATGACCTCAATGGATGCCATGAAGCGGTCGGCAATGATGGACACGCCCAGGAACATGTAGACCATGGCCACGAAGTACACCACGGCGCGGGCTGCCTTGTCACCCAGTGAGGGGTCGTTGGGCTCCCAGACGGGCAGCAGAACCCCCGGCTGGCAGCGATTGGAGCCCTGGCAGCCCCCTGTGCTGGTATCACTGTCATTGGTCGGGGGAGGTGGCAGGGAGGGGGTCGGAGTGGCTGCCCCTGAGCACGGGGGAGTCCCCAGGAGGAGCACGAACCCTACCAAGGCCAGGGGAGCCATGGAGGGTGGTGGGGTCCTGTGGGGGTGGGGAGGAGGAAGTCTGGGTGAGGGGAGCAGTCCCCTCTCTGTCAATGGGAGTCAAGGCTTGTTGGGGGTGGGGAAGAAACCAAGGACTAAGAGAGGGAGGATGCACACTGAGGGAGGCACAGAGAGACAGGGACACAGAGATGCAGAGACCAGGAGAGAACGACACACAGAGAGAAAAACAGAAGGACCCTCATGCTGGTGGGGGTGTCAGCTGGTCCAGCCACTGCCGCTGATAATCATGCATCCTAGGAGCCAGTATTCCACTCCCAGGTATGAACCCGAGAGAGAGGTCACATAGCCATCCAAAAACACACACCAGAAAGTTCATAGCAGGTTTACTTCTAACAGCTCCCATCTCGAAAGAGCCCAGATGCCTAACAGTGCAGTAGCCATACAACGGAATAGTACACAGCACTCAAAAGGAGTGGGCCAGCCACACACCAGCACCACAGGTGAATCTCACAGATGCACAGTGGGCGCATGATGCCAGGCCCAGAGAGCACAGGCTGAATGACTTAGGGGGCAAGGCCAGGGGCCTTAAATTCATTAGGTGACTCTTATGGTTCCAACGTGGCCCTCAGTGGGCTCCTTCTTGGGGATTTGGTTAGTGGCAGGTGCTGGGGTGTCTGTCTGTCTCAGGCAGAGCTGGGGGGGGTCTTCCCTGCAATGGTGGCAGGTATGCCTTTCCAGTATCCCCAGGTCTCTGTGAGGAGCACAGTTCCTTAGCAGCTGTGACATACAAGTCCCTGTGTTGGAATTTTTGCCCCAGGGGTGGGCGTGGGGGTCTCTACTGTTTCAGTACGTAGCTTCCAGCCTCTGGTCCTGGGTTTGAGTGGCTATTTCCGTGTCTTACTCAGAGCACCAAAATCCTCTCCCTGGCTCAGTCCTGCACCCGCCTGGCCCCTCCTTCCCTCTCTGGGCTCATCCCCACGCCCTCCCCCTGCCTTCCCAGCCCCCACTCACCACCTCCTCGCTGTTCCTCACACACACAAGTCGCTGCGTCGGGGTTTTGCACCTGTTGCTCCCTCTTCTTGGGACACTCTTCCCCCCACAGCCACCCACTCTCCTCCTTCAGGTCTCACTCTGAGGCCACCCTCCCTGACCCACCACTCTATTCAAGATGACACCATCCACTGTGGCCCCCAGCCACGTCACAGATGAGAGCACCCGGGCTCAGGAAGGTTCGGTAGTCGCCCTCGGTTTCTCCCAGGGGTCCCCACTGCCAGCGCCTCTGCCCCACCCTTGTGCTGCCACAGTGACCCAGTAGCCTATGAAAGAGGGACTGAGAGAGGCAGGGAGTGGGCCTCCCAGCCGCACCCTCCCTGAGCACTCTTGGCCACCAGCTTATTCTCCCTTAACTCCCATTTCTGTCCATAAAGTGCTTCTCAGAGTCTAACCCGCAGCCGTGCCCTCACACACCCACGTCCTCAGGGTTGGGAGCTGGCTCCTCCTGGGGAGGGAGGCAGAATGTTGGCAGAACTTTTCCCCAAGAAGGAGTGTGTGAGTGTGTGTGCGCGTAGGCGGGGGAGAGGGGTGATTCTTAAAGGGCCACAACACAATTAACCCCCTCAGCAAGGCCCCTAATGATACGTCTAATTAGCAGCCCCCTAATTAGCAACGACTTAGGCATAATTACAAACCCACCAGGATCCAAAGCAAAGACTCATGCTCTCCTCTCCCTCCCTCCTCGGCAGCTTTCAGGGGAAACGAGAGCCACCTGGGGGTTAGGAATTCATCCGAAGCATCTGACGCCTCTCGCGTGGAAAGGGCCGCGGCCTGGGAAGTCCTCTCTGGTCTAACCACCTGTCCCTCCCACTGCAGTCCCAAAGGGAGACCGGGGTCAGCCCATGGGTGCTCTCCTGCCTGCCCTCCTCGCCCAGGCGATGGGCAAGGCAGCTTGGTTCAATCTGTTTTCCTGTAAAACCTGGCTTTCATGGAGGCCTTAGGGGAGGAGGGGTCAGGGAGAGAAAGCACTGGATAAATATTTGTGAAATAAGCAACTGAGAAGTCTGAGCCCTGTCACTGGGGACGACCAGATGCCCTCTGCTCAAGGCTCCTGCTTCCACCTCGCGGTCCTCCAGCAGCTCTGCAACCTAATCTGGGTTTAGAATCCAGGGGCCAAAGGATCAGGTTGAGGCCAGGGTGGAAGCTGGGAGGGCAGACGGCTGGCACTGCCTCCTGGAGCCATCTCTGCCCACCCTTGTGGGCCAGTGGCCAGCTGGGTCAGTGGTGAGCGCCCCAGTTCCGCCTCTTGGAGCCTCAGAGACCTCACGCAGAGAGTGGGCCTGCCAGCCTGTGGCGGGGGAGGTCCAGTCTGGCATGCCAGATGGGGCTCCCTCCCCGAGTCCCTTGCAGTCAGGAGGAGGGTGGTTCCTGACTGTGCTCGTGGCAGGGGTAGGGGGTGCCCACTGTCCCTGGGGGGAGTCTTCATGGTGGGGGCGTGGGCTTCTAAACAGACATACTGCTCCACGGTGAGCCAGGTTTCCCCTACCACCTCACAGTGTCCCAGCTTGGGGACACACACACGTTCTCGGTGCTCAGTGCTAGGGTACACTGATGGGTAAACTGAGGTCTGGAGAGGGAAACAGCTTGGCAGAGCCCTGCAGTCGGGGGCTGAGCAGGGGTGGAGACCCCCCACGTGGGACTCCTAAGCTGGCTGTCTTGTTATCCCATCTGGAGCTGCACAGTAGGCACCTGTGGACCCGGCATAGCTAGCTCACACCTCTGCCCTTGTCACTCTCTCCCACCTTCTCTAGGGCCCACTTCCCTCCAGGAAGGAGAGGATACACTGGCCAGCTCAGAGCCAAGGGGTGGTGAAGCTCTGAGGTGCAACCCCACTGAGAGACAGGTCTGAGGCTAGAACACCAAGACAGCCATGGAGGCAAGCCTGCAGGAGGGGCTAGCATGGCCCAGCCTGGTCCTCATGCTGTGCCCGGAGTAGGAAAGGTGCTCAGTGATTGTCAAAAGAATGAATGAGTCAAGGAGTGGACAAATGGCAAAAGAGGTATGGAAGTGAGACTGCAGGGAAGACTGGTCCAGTCAACATAAGAGGACTGGGGAGATGCGACTGACGAAAGGACCGGGGCATTCTCCACTACACAGGGGGCAGGTTAAACTGTGAGAAGCACTGGCTTCAGGAAGCCAGGACTGAGGCAGGGGAGAGAAGCTCTGTCCTCAGGGAGGGATGGGGCAGATGCCAAGAGGGAGGATGGGAGGAAGCTCGGCTGAAGAAGGGAGTTTGTGGGATTCCGCGCCTTCTCGGGGAGCCCACTCTGTGGACGGGGTCTTCCTCCAGGGCTCCCCCCGTTGGGGGTGGAGACAAAGGTGTGTAGGAGGAGAGCTAACTGGCTACCGGGGGCAAGAGGAGAGAGAGGCAGAGACCAGATACCGGAGACAGAGACGGAGATGAGAGGGAAGAGGCAGGGGAGACCGAGGGAGACACCCGGGGCTGGGGAGACAGACAGAGACAAGAGATGGCGAAAGGGGGAGGCGGAGAGAAGCCAAAGACTCGGAGACTGAGCCTGCAAAGGCACAGAACAGACCCAGGCACACAGAGAGAACAGAGACAGAGAAGAAGAGTGAGAGACTGAGAGACAGGCATACAGGCAAAGGGGCTTGGCGAGGCGGCCCGACTCTGCAGGACAGAGACCCCTAAGAGAGGCGGAGACAGGAAGGCGGGGGCGGGGGTGGAGAACACAAGGGGGGGCTGCCGGAGAAGGGGTGGGGTGTTCTCGCCCCCTCCGCGCCCAGGAGACACCCTCTCCCCAGCTCACCGTGCTCCCTGGGGTGCAGGAGGGGCTGAGGGTATTGGCCGCTGGTGGCGCCCCCACCCCATGGAAGGGCCCTGGTATCTGCACCCGGGATATGCAGCCCTCTGCCCCCCATAAACGAGCTCAAGAAAAGGCGGCTCCCGGTTATTCAAGTGCCCCCCTCCCACCTGCCTGGGCTAACACCATCCTTCCCCCACGCTCAGCCTAAGAGGGGCCTCTTACCTGCAGCTTACAGCCTGGAGTAGGTCCCCGGGCACTGGGCTGGCGGTGGTGGGCGACTCCGCCCGACGGGGAGTGAGAGAGAGAGAGGGACAGAGGGATAAAGAGGCAGAGAGAAGGGAGAAGCAGGAGACTGAGGGGAAGAGCCAGGGAGGAGGGGAGAGGGGATGAAGGGAGGAGAGGAATGGGGAGAGGGACACGGGGGAGGGGGAGTCTGGGAGAGGGAGGAGGGACAGGGGAGCGAGCCGAGAGGGAGGAGGCGGAGCCGGCGAGGGGAGGGGCGGAGGCGGGGAGAGGGGGGCGGGCGTGGGAGGCGGAGGCGGCCGGGGAGGGGCCTGGGGAAAGAGCGCGGGTGGGGGAGGTAGCCCAAGCCGCCCACCCACCCTCCGGGTTCAGCACCACGGGCCGGGGACAGCGGCGGAAGGTGGTGTGTGTGTGTGTGTGTGTGTGTGTGTTTTGGGAGGATGTGGGGGTCANGTGTGTGTGTGTGTGTGTGTGTGTTTTGGGAGGATGTGGGGGTCAACCAGAGGTATCCTGCACCTCCCTCCCCAACATAAGGCACAGTCTCTGATCCAAACAAGGGCCAAAGAGGCAAAAACAGCTACAAATAGTTACAGGCTCACAGAACTGGGGGGAGGGCAAGAATGTTTGGTCAGAGTCAGATCCAAATAGACATGCTGTGCCTGCAGACATCAACTCACAAAGCAAGCCAGAAACAACCACAAGGCCACCCATTAATAATAATAACAAGTTGCCATTCATTCGGTCCCTTACCATGTGCCAGACATTGTTACAAATTTGTGCACCGACACAACCCTCCTAACCAACCGTGTGACATAGGTGCTATTAGCGACATTGTATAAATGGGAAAACCGAGGCACACAGTGGCAAAGACTGGCTCCAGGCTCTACCCCCTGAACCGCTACACAGCACACTGTCCGGGCTGAGGAGCTGGCAAGGGGGCAGGAGATGCACCGCGAAGGGCCAGGAGGGTGGCCCAGGCTTGGAGGCACACACTCACAAGCCCTGAAATGGATACATTCATGCGCACACGTTTCACAGACTAGCGCCATCCCTAACTCAACCTACCCCAAATCCCGCCCCACGATCCCACTCCCTCTCAGCGGGCGGGCAGCAGGAGGGAGGGGCCCCTGCCGTGCCCACCACCAGTCCTGGCTGGACACCCTTGGGCCTGCTGCCAGGAGGAGGGAGCAGGTCCAGCTCCCTGCCATTTCCCACGCTCGGGCTCAAGTTCTGGGAGACAGAGATGAAGACGGGTGGACAAGAATCGGTGGGCCCCTACTTCCTAAAAACCCATTGTGGAGAGCTGGCACCTTGGTCTTTACCACTTGGTCAGCATAGGTGGTCAGATGAATGAGAGGGCATCCGTAGCAGGAGGTGGCCGGGTGGCCGGAACGACTGTGGCTCCTGCCCCTCTCCCCCAGGAAGCAGGAGCTCCCCTCAACTCCTGCCCCAGGGAGGAAGGAGCCCACTCTCCTCACCAGCCTGGATCCCACTCAAGAATTACTCCCCAGCCCTCCTGACCCGGATTCTATTCCTGGTCTGTGATGGGGGAGGGCAAGATTTCTTCTGGCAGCCCCGCCCTCCTCTAGTCCCTGCGATGTAGGCCCGATTCCTTCTCCTGCTGCCGTGGAATGGGTCACAGAAGGGGGCAGCTGCTACGGCCACGGACTAGGGAAATCAGTCTGTGCCCACCTCCCTGGTCCCCCAAGCCCCTTGGCTTTTCAATGAGGTCTAACCTTAGTCCTTTCCAGCATGGAATATCCTGGGTGCTCTCTGCCCCGGTCCCACCTCAGCGCTCCCCATGTGTGATTTAAACTCAATTACTTTCTGCGAGGGGTCTAACCTTGGCCCTTGGCACAGGGTCTAACCATGGTAATTTTTATTAGGGTCTGACCTCAGCATTACTCACTGGGGGTCTAGCCTCAGACCCTCTGCTGCAATTTGACCAGAGCAGTCCTTTCACCCATGTCCTTTCTTTTGAGGCTCAGTTTCCTTATCTTCCCACTGGGACCTAAGCTCAGATGCAGAGCTTTCCACTGGGGTCTACCCTCTGTCCTGATATTCTAGTCTTTTCTGTGTGCTTTAACATCAGCTTTTCTGCTAGGGCCTAACTCACTGGATTTCCTTCCTCTGAGGTCTACACCACCATCTCTCCTTAGGCCTGCTTCTGGGTCCAACCTTGTATCTTCTCCCCATATCCTCCTCCTTCCACGCTTCTGGGTGGAGGCAGCATCCAACACAGCCTGGCATGTACCAGACGCTCATTAAACGCTTGTTGGACAAAAGAATGAAGACGACTGAAAGTCTAGTTCTTTCTTCTGACTTATACATACTTGTTGGTTGACCAGTTCTCGTGGGGAATGGGAAGGGGGGTTGGGTGAGACCATCCCATTTTCAACGGGGGACACTGAGGCACAGAAAGGGTGTGTGCTAGCTGGGGCTACAGGGCACACTGGGGCAGAGCCGCAGTAGGAACTCGCAGCTCCATCCCCCTGTGGGATCTGGGGAGACCATCCCCTCCTCAGGATGCTCCCCCACCATAAATGATGGAGGTGATTACCCCAGTGAACTGCCCCCAGGCCTGGGAGGGAGGAGGGCAGGGACTGGGTGCTCAGGAGGCTGGGGTCTCAGCAGGCCCTGGACCCCCTCAGTCCCCCAGTCTTTGTGGCTGACGTCTCCTCTGCTCCACTAGATGCTGAAGCCGGGTCAGGACCAGCTCTGAGGCCTGGATCAGGCTGTGCTGTGGGGAACGAGACAAGGAGGAGGGTGGGGCTAAGACAGAGCAGAAGGGGTGCAGGTTAGACCACACGACACGGTCTGAAGTTAGACAAAACCAAAGGCCCAGAGCTTGGCCACAGTGGGAGGTTGGAGAGCCAACGACAGTGTGTGGGGTGGGAATGGGTCTGTGTGATGAGGTGAAGGTGAGATCCTGGGGAAAGCTTGTCAGTCAATTTCCCGTAGGAAGAACAAAGCCTAGACCCAAATGTATGGGTCTGAGGTTAGAATCTGGTAGAAGCAACAGGTCAAAATATGATAGAAACTGCAGTATATGGGAGTGAGATTTGGCTACTGGACAGAGACTAAGGTTAGACTACAGTGATGGAGACAAAGCTGAGCGTCTGGCAGAAGAGGACAGGCTAACGCAGCAGAAGAGGAGCAAACCAAGTGAAGAGAGAGAACACGTCACCACACCAGGGCCACAGTCAGACCCTGCCAGAGGGCCTGGGGTTAGACCCTAACAGAAGGAACACGGAGGAGATCACAGTAGGATGGCCTGAGAGAGATCACAGTGAGGGATGATGGGATGGTCAGACCACCGTAAAGGCAAGTCCTTTCCCCCACAGTTGGAGCACAGCCGCTTCCGCCGTGGTCTGACTTCGTGCTTCCCACTGGGGTCTAACCTATGCCCTTCCCATTAGGCTCTAACCTCAGACCTCTGCACTGGGTCCAACCTCTATCTTTCTCCTCAGGTCTAACCTAGACCCTTCCACTGGGGAATAGCCCGTAGGAAAAGGCCCGAGCAAAGACCACAGAGGAGGCAGTGAGGTTAGAGCAGCACGATGAACCCAGGTTAGACTACACATCAAGGGACCCTGGAGTCAGACTGGAGGGAAGGAGAAAGCGACCAGCAGATGAGGAAACAAAGGCACCCACAGGGAAAAGGGCAGACGTTAGACTCTGTCAGTTGAAGGTTCAACTACAATGGAGGGTCCCTTGGGCCATCAAAATAGCTGGACATTAGATTGTAACAGGGCCAATGGCAGTCAGCCTGCTATGGGAGGGTCAGAGGTCAAAGCACAGCAGAATGCTGGACATCAGACTATAGTAGAAAGTTCAAAGGTTAGCCCAAAGGGGGAGGGTGCAAGGTTAGACTACAGTGGGAAGCAGGAAACTGGCTGTGGCAAGGCTGGAGGTGAGACCGCAGGGGAGGGTGGGAAGTGTGACTGGGAAGTCAGAACTCAACAGCAATTTGGAGGCTAGCCCGCAGCCAGAGTGAAGCCAGTTACACAGATAGGAGAGACTGGCTGCAGTAAGGAGGGCAGAGGTTAGACCACAGTGGAAGGAAAAAGGTTAGATCCCAGGGGGCAACCCGGGCTAGGCCACAGTGAAGAGACACAGTGAAGAGACAGAGGAATGAAGGATGGAAGTTAAGGAAACAGAGGGTGGCCAGGGGGCCGGGGGTGACGGATGCTGCCATTGCAACCCCCTCCCAGCTGTGAGTGCCCCCTGCTGCCCCTCCTCCTGGGAGCTGTCCTTGAAACCTCCCTTTCCCCAGAGCCCCAAGGTGGGCTCAGGCTCCGGAGCTCCCCAGGGCACTGGGCTGAGGGCCCACAGCCCTCGAATCCACCTTCTCGCATGGCTTCTCCCTCCCCCTTACTTGTCCCTGTGAGAACAAGTCCTCAGGAAAGCAGGTGTGCAGAACCTCCACCTCAGGGTGCAGCCCTGTTACCTGCAGGATGTGCACGCCCTTCAGGGAGACCACAGCAAGCTCCCGCAGCCCGTCCCCAGTCAGGTCCACGTGCGCCAGGGCCAGCAGCGGGCTGGAGAAGCTCCTCTGCCACAACAGGTGGAATCCGCTCTCGGCCTCGGGGCCCCTGGACTGTGGCCTGCAGTACTTGTAGCAGAGCAGCTCCTGCGGGGGGGAGCGCTGGGGTCACACGGCGGGAGGGGAGCAGGGGAGGAGATGGCAGGTGGCAGCCCCACCCCTCAGGTCCCACCTGTCCATAGGTGGCCACCAGGACTTCCGGCCGCCCATCCAAATCTATGTCAGTGACCAGGCCACAGAGAACACTGTCAAACTGGTCACTGGCGGGCAGGAGAAGCTGATCATCAAGGCCCTTGTGCAGCAGGTCCCTGTGGGGTCCGAACACGGCGGGGGGACTGAAGTTAGACCACAGGCCTGCCACACTTAGCGCCAGACCTGGGCCGGGTGCCCATACTCCTGCCCTTCTAGGGCCTGCACACGCTGTTCCTCCTGAAGCCTGGGTGCCCTTGTCTCCAATCTGGACATCTCCAGAGCCACCAAGGGGAACTCAAATCGCTTCGATTGTCAGCCCACAACTCGGCAATCTGACACTGTGCTGTCCCCTGAAGGCGGGATGGCCTTGCTCCCAAATGGAAACCCACTTTAT